CCAGTCTTTTTCTTGTGGAGGCCCAGGAGTATTCTGTAAACTTTTGTTATGAAACGCTAGTCTGAGATGGTTTACCAAATGTTTGTGCTCAGTCTGTAGGTTTTCTTTTCATTTTGTTGGAAAAAATTTTTGATGCACACATAGATTTAATCTTTAGATGGTCCCATTCATCAATATTATCCCCTTAAAATTGTGCATTTCTGGTCGTACTTGGCAGTCTCTTTATACCTCGGACTATAGCTCTTAAGTTTGATCTCAGTTTGTCTCTTATGAACTTTGTAGGTTTGAGCTTTACTTCCAGGTCTCTGATCCACCTTGAGTTGACTTTTGTGCATGTGTGAGGTGTGGATTCTGTTTCACTTTTCTGCACATGGAAGTCCAATTTTCACAGCACCTTTTGTTGAAGAGGTTGTCATTTCCCCATTTGATAGCTTTGATTTCCTTGTCAAATATTAGTTGACCATAGATAGCTGAGTCTATGTTATTTATTGACCCTTTTGAAAAATAAGCTCCTGGTCTTATTGATGGTTTCAACTTTTTATTTCTTAACTGCTGTTGCCAAGAGTGTTGATTGTGGATCCAAACCGAGGAATTTGCTAACAACCTCAATCTTTTCTCCATCTAACATGAAGCTGTCGTTTTTCCTGGTGGTGAGAATCTTTGTTTTCTTGATGTTGAGATGCAATCCTTATTGAAGACTGCATATCTTAACCTTCTACAGCAAATGCCTCAAGTTCTTCTCAGTTTCAGTGAGCAAGGTTGTGTCATCTGCATAACCAAGACTGTTGATGAGTTTTCCTCCAGTCCTGAAACTGCATTCTTCTTCATAAAGTCCAGCCTTCCAGATGATTTGTTCTGCAAATAAATTAAATAGTTATGGAGAAAGTCTACATCCTTGGCACACTCCTTTTTTGATCTGGAACTGTGTAATGTTCGCTTTGAACACAGATGTACCTATCTCTCATTATGGCTCAGCTCTGATTTTTTGAGCTGCCTTTTGAAATCTGTTCATTTCTCTTACTTCAATATTCTTCTCCTTCCCATTCCTCCCCTCCCCTCTCCTCCTTCC